TATACTATATAATTGTATATGACGGATCATATAGCTACATAATATATATATATATATGTATATATATATATATATATAAAGAAAGAGAGAGAGAAAGAGATACATAAGCGCATAATTTAAGAATATAGTATGTTAAAGGTAGGCTAGGTATACATGACACATAATTACAACATCACTAATTGTGCAGTGAGCTGGACAATTTTCTTTGTGCTTTAACATGGGTTATGCATATATGCATAAATTATAAACTGATCTTTGTGTACTGAATTTGGTGTATCAGACAGCTTATTCATATATTTGAATTAATTAATTATTTGCTTGGTGTTATTTTTTTATGTTCAACATGTAGATAACCGTAAATGCGAGTATTTTTTCTAATGTATGTAAAATGGTAACTAAAATCCGGCCCCGGCTCCGGCCGGTTTTTGAATTTTAAATTCGGCCAAGTCCAGCCCCGGCCGGATTTGAAATCCGGTGCATCCCTAGTTTTTATACAGCTGTTTACAAATTGACTTTTACTTATTTTGCTGCGAACTAAACTTGTGCTGCAACATGTATGCGCATTTATTGTTAATTACTGCGACGGCTTTTGTACTAGAGATGGGAATAGAACCCTTCCTATAAAGTTTGGATTCTATTTGGTTTGGCCACAAAAATGGTTCGGGTTCAGTTTGGCTTACTACATCATTAGTTACAACATATGAATAAAAAAAATAAAAAAAAGCACCTGAATTGAATATTTATTGCCTCCACGGCTTTTATTACCTTTAAGAGATATATTTGTATCTCCCTTTTCACCTTTAATATAAAAGTCTGACGTATTTTTTGATTTTGTTAAAGTTGTCTCGAACATGTTATGCTTTATAATCTCTGTTTGACCATCATCCATTTTATCCATTAACACTTTAGTTGAATTTCGAATTAAGTCCGTTGCTGCATTGACAAATTTCTATGAAAACGTTTTGAAAATAATTTTGGAATGCCGGTAATTTCTATAAGAAAAAATACTTAACCCACTGTTTTATTTTCTTCGTCCAAATCATTTATATAAACATTTTCCAAAATGTTATTCGCAAATTGATTAATCAAACTGATAATTGTAATTGTATTTGAACTATTTTAAAACAACTTAATGAAAAAGATGATAATTTGAAAATGAAAAAGTTTTGAGCAACAATTTTGTCTAAAACACATGGAATAAAATGGAGTAAATTTGTTTAACTCTTTCATTTAAATTTACAAGAAGTGAGAAAAGATTTTAATTATTTTAAAATATTATTTAAAAATTTGTTTAACAAAAAAACTGTATATTTGCTGCAAATGTTTTCCACCTTTTATTTGTTTTTATGCTAACCACTTTATTTAAATATCCAAAAAGAATTGAAATTTGTCAAAAAAATTGTTGATGGCTCTGAAAAATATTGCAGAAAAATTTTAATAAATAAATAAATAAGTCGAAGGCCGAGCTCATGTTTAAAATAAACGACTGAACGAACAAACTGGCAAACAAATAAATAAATAGAAGACTACTAATTTTAGGTACCACGACGAAAAGGCGCAGCAAATAAGGCGCAGACAAAAAGAACGCAACAATAAGGGCGCAGTGTATTTAAGGCGCGATCAAAAAAGCGCGTACAATAAGGACGCAAAAAAAGGGCACAAGACAAAAAGGGCACGAGTTATATGGGCGCAATTTTTGAAATTTACATAATATTTTTATTTATATATTTTCTACGTTTATTTATATCTAGTTTACCTTTTTTTTATTGTGTTTAAAAGTTATTTTAGCGGAAATTTTAATTGCGATATTCGAAGTTTTTTTTATTTGTTTATGTAGTATTCAATTTGAGTAGCAGGTGAAATTATTTAATAATTAATTATTTGATTGAAGTGATATCGATAATATTAATGAATTTGTTATTAACTTTATGAGTAAACGTTGCAATAAATTATTACCTTTACTTGAGTATAAATTAATAATCATTAGCATTAAATATTATACTTATTTTTAATTTTAATCTTACTTTCATAGCGCCCTTATTGCTCGCGACCTTTTTTGTCTTGCGACCTTATTCAAGCCTTTTCCGACAGCGTTTTTTTTGAACTTAATGTTGCGCTTTTTTTGTCTGTGCCCTTTTGCTGCGCCATTTTGTCGGCGAGCCAAAATTTGTAAAATGTAAGAACGGATTGTTAAATAAAAAATCAAACAAATAAAGTGGTCTCAAATTTCAATCTTTTAATCCGTGTCATATTTTGGTGAGCTTTCAATTGTTAAATTTAAATCAGGTATGAAATTCCCGTTTTACAAAAATCAATTTTTTTACACTCGTATCCATTCTAACAGATATACGAATAAATAATTAAACCTATAATAATTATAACAATTTTTTAATGTTCAAAATGTTCACAGTAATAACGATAAATATTTTGCCCTCTACAATACACTCCGTTAAAGAAGGCGGAGCTATTTTTTGTTGAATTTGATTTTTCTCGAAATATGTGGTTGTTGGTCCTGATGTGGCTGACGTCGATCTTGTTTTTTGTGATGTTGATGGTGTTATAAGTAAATAATGACGTTATAATTCTGAAGTTGTTGTTACTGATAATCTGATTGACACTTTAGTTCAGGTTCGAATCTTTTTTTGACATCTCATGCAATGTTTTATCCAATTTCGAGTGCTTTTTAGGTAAGATATATTCGAGTGTAAGGATGATAAACTATGCTCTGCTCTACTCTTTTTGTGATGATGACACTTTTGCTGCTAAACCGGAGAAGGAGGAAGAAAAAGAACAGCCAGGAGAGGATCATTCATGTATGATGTTGCTGATAACATGGCAACATTCTGCTCAGTATTTTGCAGTTGCGATTGTTATATGTAGTTGCATCTATGCTTTTGCTCAGAATAAGTTCCATTTCATTAGATTCCTCTTGTGGCCGCCTCTCTACAATTTGTTCACCTTCTTCAGACTTAACTATATTTCTATAGGCTTGGGACTGTGGCATGTTGGTTGGTTTTCTCCAGTGTCAATGGATCAGTGTTGAAAATTTGTTGAGCTTTTTAATCGTCTGGTGGTTCGTTTATGTGAATCTGTTGCACAAACCATATAAACCATACGTGGATTTCTTGGTTATCGATTCGATTGGTGCCGTCGACGCTTATCCAGATGTTTTGCTGCTGTTTGTGGTATCGTTTTTTATATAGTATTCCACAGTGAGGACATCATTTTTTAAAAATGGCAATAAATCATCAGCTAAACTTCCCACTTGTTTCAGAGCAAGATTCTTCTGAGCTGAGATAACTGGTAAAATTGTCGTCGGTGATACCTGTATGAATCTATAACGCATTATATGGTCTCCGGCGCTGAATTTGTTAGCTCTCGACAATAAATCTTTGAGATAGATAGACGTCTACTGGAGATTTTATTGTTTGCCCAGAGCACACGGGCGAAAAGCTGTGATTTGGTTCTTTCATAATAGGTTGATGCCACCGCTACCTTTAGGGTGTCGTAATGTTTTTCTTCAAATATTTTTAGCGGCAATTTTGCTACAACATCCACCGGCAGGAGAAAAACATGTGACAGTATCTGATTTCTAAAGAACCCACTGTTCGCAATTGAAATTGTGCTTCTTTTATCGCAAGCCAACCCGTTGACGCCGGCTCCATGATTCGAATTTGATGACGATCGCGTCGGCATTTGGTTTGTACATTTCATTGATAATTGTTAATTTCTCTGTTTTACTAATTAGTTGAATCTTCGTTCTTTTTTTACGTTAGATTTTCGTTTTTCTTTAAAAATCACGTCGGGTTTTCTTTTTTAAATCACGCAATTTTTGTTTTTTTTCAAGCCAATTTAAGGCGATAATATAATTTTATTATATCAACGAAGAATAACTCGCAACCATCTAATATTAACAGAAAAAAGAAAGAGAAAAGTGAAGCAAAGAATTGGTAAAATGTTCACAGATTAATACCTACAAAAAATTTAGTCGCCTACATCAGTATTGCGACCACTGCAAATTCCTGTACAAAACCAGAAAAAACTACACTGAGGTAAGACATAAGACCTGTTGTTTAGTCCAATTAGGTAGCTTTTAATTCAATTAATTATCTTCATCAATTTATCAATACTTTGATATAGATTAAGCAATAAAACATCAGATCTACACCGGCCGAATGTTAAATGTTAGCAAAGACATTTTTTAGGCATCTGCATCAGCATAAATTCCCGAATGATGTGTAGTAGGGTAGTTTCAGTGAAATGAAACTGTCAAAAACCAGATTGATAGGTATACAGGCATGAGATTATTACTATTAAGAGCAAATTGTTTACGATCGGTTTATATATAAATGACATATTATTGATAGGTTTGTTGATATCGTTTTGATCTGCCCCACTTTTTCAAGAAATGACACGACTATTGCATGTCTACATTTTGTAGGAAAATGTAAATCAGCAAATCATAAATTTGTGTGATTTATGACTGCTTCAATTTTAATTGATTCAGCTTAATTTAATCAGTAATATCCGAATATATGAATATATATATATATATATATATATATATATATACGACATAAATATATATATATATATATATATATATATATAGCCATTATATATATATTGTAGGTTATATGGGTTATGGAGGGATATTGTACAAAAATTCAAAATGGCCCCTCTATGGTACTTAGACTTGGAACGCTCAACATTGGATCAGTGACTGGCCGCAGCATGAAAATCGCAGAAATGCTCGAGCGTAGAAGGATTGACATCTGCAGCCTTCAAGAGATCCGATGGAAATCGAATGGTGTCTGTCATATCAACTAAGACAAAGAAAAATATAAAGTATTCTGGAATGGTCGAAAGACGGCCAAAAATGATGTTGGAATGACTATTTTTCTGCATACGCACCACAGACCGGCGAATCAGAAGAGATGAAAAATAACTTCTGGGCTGCGTTCTCTGACACCATCTCAACAATATCGAAATCTGAAATAATGCTGATTCGATGCGATCTCAATGGCCACGTTGGAGAGAAAACTGATGGTTTTGACAACGTACATCGCGGTTTTGGCTATGGAGAACGGAATGAAGATGGCAACCGCATCCTTGAGTTTGCTGTAAGTCACGGATTTTGTTTACTGAACCCATATTTTAGAAAGAGGTTAGAACATCTAATAACATACAAAAGTGGACCATCAGCCACGCAAATTGATTTCTGCGCTGTCAAGCAACAACACCGAAGACTATTCAAAAATGTCAAATCATGTGTCGCCCAACATAGACTCCTTGTGGCAGACCTGGTTGTCGAACTATCAATCAATCAATCTTCGTTTTGCGTCCAGAGACCCGGTTTCCCGAGGTAGGACGTTGTTTTCTTTGCCATCAACTTTTTGCGCCAAATTAGACGATCAGTTGTATCCATTTCATTTAAATTTAGAGCTTTCATGTCTTGCTCGATTGTTTGCGACCAGGACTTCTTTGGACGGCCTTTGGGACGTGTGCCAGGTACTTCAACATCTGCAAGAGAAGTTATGGCACTGTTTCGACTTCGTTTGACATGACCAAACCACCGCAGACGGTGTTGCCGGCATTCGTCCTTTATATCATCTAAACCAGCACGACGCAGGATTTTGGTAGATTTGATGTGGTCCTTTAGACTAATTCGTTGCATCCATCGGAGCATTTTCATGTCGGTTCGTTGAAGTTGTTGTTCCAGTTTGGTTGTCATTATCCATGTTTCTGCACCATATAACAAGACCGGACGTATCACAGATTTATAAAGTCTTGATCGTAGTGGTAGTGGATGTCACGCCGCATCAATATAGAGGCAAGGAGATGCCATTTATTCCAGGCTGCACGTATGCGTGCTCGAACGGCAGCTTCAGCTGTTCCAGTACAATCCAGAATATCCCTTAGATATTGAAACGATGTGACTTTCTCTATTTTAATGGCTTCAAAAACAGTGCTATTTCGAATTTGTTGTTGTGGATTGATGCAAGCAGGACAAACAAAATTGGACACTTTAGATAAAGTACCAATTATTTTTGAACAACGTTTGTGACACCACTGGTTACACTGCTGACACTTGATTGAATTGTTACCTACACCAGCTTTACAAACTGAACAGGGCCATCGTCCAGTAGCTGTGGATTGGATGGGTTCACCAGTGTTCATTGCTTTGGTTTTGCTGATGTTGACTTTGAATCCATGATCGGCGAGTCTGGTGTTCCAATCTTCAAACATCTGTGCTGCATTCTGCTCAGACGTGGCTGTTAAAACGATATCATCAGCATATACTAGATTACAAATGTCACCAGTGCGTATCGGTTTTGTGATTTCTTCCATCACAGTTATAAATAACAGTGGACTGAGAATCGAGCCTTGGTGAACTCCAACGCCGATGTCAAATGCATCTGTGTTTCCAACCGTTGTGCTGACAAAAGTCTTAGTATTCGTATACATTTCCATCACAAGTCGAACAAAATATTCTGGAATGAATTGTCGACGTAGACTCCATCTGATTGCTTCACGGGGAACTCGATCAAATGCTTTTTCAAGGTCTACAAAAATGTGTGATAGTTGTTGATGCTTTGCGAGTACTTC